CAAGTCCTTGGCATCTAAAGCAAACATTTGCTGCTCAGACACAATTAACCCACCTCACCACTGAAACTCACCCAGTACTATTTTGCAACTGAATGCGATATGTCCCTGCACGGTAAAACATGTTTACTGTCAACACAGGATTAAATGAAAGAAAAACAAAATGATTTTTTCCCAGGATAAGATGCAGTGGTACGGAAATGTACAAAGAATGTACACGAGACTTATCTGGACGTCTGTAAGGATTTTCTGTTGCTGTTGGACAAATCTCTTTCTTTAACACCTTTTTGAAAAGTTAATACTCGTAACCATGAATTTAGAATCACGCCTGAGGTGTGTTTGCACTGCTCTTGCGGGTATTAGGCTATGTTTGCACAACTCAAAATGTTTTTTTTTAACCGAAACACAGACACGTCACTCTTCTGCCTGCAGAAAGGAAAAACAGCAGTGAAGTAAGACCACACCGTCACCTACACCACAACCTTTCCTAGGGATGGGCGACTTTTCTTGCTGTAGTCACTGTGTAGACATTCTCTGTCTACACAGTGACTTTTTCAATTCGATTTTACATAGAGTCAAATCTCAGTAAGGTGCTTTGTATTTAAAGGTAAATACACTACAGTAACTGGGAAAATTCCAACAATTAGACAACCCCTATGAGCGAGCACTTGGTGACAGTGGGAAGGAAAAACCATCTAACATGACCAGTTGGTGTTGAGGGGAAGCTAAAGGAATCTACAGTATGTCCGTGCGCTGTTTCATCTTGCTGTTGTATACCAGCTCACCTGTTTGTGCAGACTCTCCAGCTCCACCTCCAGGGTCTGCAGGAAGCGCTGCCTCTCGGTCAGCTCTCCCTGAGCTCCCCTCAGAGCCTCGTTGCTCTCCTTCACTTCATTCTGCATCGTCTCCAGCTGGCAAAGAAGTGTTTTCTGTGACTTTTTGTGTAACTTTGTGAGGACCATTCAACATTATTACAGTGATTCACACTAGATATTACTCCCCACACCTTCTTGCGATACCACTGCTCCGCCTGTTCCTTGTTCCTCTTCACAATGCCCTCATATTGGGAACGCAGCTCGGACAGAATGGTGCCCAGCTCGGGCCCGGTGGCAGAGTCCACCTCCACGTTCACCTCATCTCTGGCAATACGAGACTTCATCTGCTCGAGTTCCTGTAGGCACACAGGAGATTATTTTTATTACATTGCTCACATTGTCATTTTTAAACCAAATTATTTTAGTTGCACTGTGTATTAAATGTCACTTCTAATTAAATGTAACCAACACTGGTTTCCACAGTCAGCATATGAAGAAGGCGTGGAAGAGATTGGTGAACCCTACACCGCAGAGTGACAGAGAGGATGTGATGGCACTTTAATTATTTAGATGTTTCTCATAAATACTGAATGGGAAAGAGCTCACCTTACCCCTGGCCTTTCAACTTGCACACAAATAATCCTGCTCAAGCATGCTTGGTGGATTTCTTTCACTCTCTCTTCTTTGTTACATTGTTCTCTGTCACTAGTCTGTTTTATTCTAAAGTAGTGTATTACTAAAGCTCTTGATATATGTTTATACACATTTTTCTAAACTTTATTGGGCAACAAACTTGAATTATAGTTTATATATTTCATGCTTAGTCACTGAATTCTTGCTTAGGATCTATCTAATGTCCCAATGGTCCCCAAAGAGACACTGCTTATCTAAACGAGTTGCCATATATTCAACAAAAAGGCATAGATTCCAGTGATTCACATTCACAAAGCAAGCACCACATGGGTAAAATACATAAAAAGTAAGAATGTGTGATCTGTTCTAATAATCTACACTTATTCGGTTGAGGTTTTAAAAACCTCCAGTCTCTGACATATTGCTTCTTTCTTTGCATCACATTGTTCTAGTGGCCTCTAAGTGTCACCAAATAGGATCTACACAGTCTTGTTTCAGTAAAAGGGAGATCAGTTCCTCCTTTGGTGTGAGGGGGTAAGTTTATCTTTGCCTTGGAGAACACCTCGGATCAGCTGACTGGACAGAGAGAGCAGGTGTGAGCAACCAGATCTACCTGCTGCTTTTGTCCACAGTAACCAGAGGACCACCTATCGCTGCGCTCTCCTCAACTACACATCGTTTTCTGTCTATGTTGGCGCTAAAAAAGCCCACTGAGTCCACCAAAGTGGGTCAAGCGTGTTTCAAGCAAGTGTTTGTGAGGGCAGGCTGGGGAAGGGAGAGGGCCAAAAAGAAAATGAGACTACACAAATGTCAAGTAGTGAGAAGAGAAAATGAGAACATGGCGATGGTGGCAAACACACTAACCTCTTCATGGTTTTTCTTGAGGAAGTAAAGTTCCTCTTTCAGGCTGTCCAAATCTCCCCTCAAAGAGGCGATGATCTGCTCATGATCGGTCTTGGCCTTTTTCAGGGCAATACAGTCTCGCTCCACAGACTGACACATCACCATTTCAGTCTCCCATCTAGTAGTTTGGAAAGACGAGCAGCATCGTATATGACTTTTATTCATTACCTCCACAGATAAACTGCTTTTCCCCCCTTGTTTTTACTGCGGTAGAAACTGTCTATACTGGATATGAAATAACATGTTTGCAGGAAAAAGTACTTTTTTGTTGTTTTGTTTTTTCATAATTAAAGTTAAACATTTGCATTTGTGTTGCTGTACTTCTGCTTGTGACTTCCCTTTGCATAATATTTATTAGTCAAAGTAGTAAGAAATGCCTATGCAGTCAGGAAGTCTTACAAAAGTAGCCTGAAATTAATGAATACAGCAATAAAACCTCAAAGAACACAAACATTTTCTAATAATAAGAAAAACTTTGTATTAAATATACATTTACTGATATATACTGATAAATATTTGGCTGTATGTAATGAAAACTGTATGTTAGCTGACATACTATCCTTATTATGCTTTTTAGTGTTCCTACAGTAATCTTTTAATTTAATAATCAGTACTTAAATAACTTTTTCCAAAGAACGCTGTGTTAACGTGCAAACATTTTTTTGTTGATTGAGCAAATATTTGACCAAAACATGACAGAGGCATCAATGACATTATTAACAGAAACATCTCTGTATCATTGTGCATCACCATGGTGCAATCATTAATCACTCACTTGATTCTGAAGTCATCGGCAGCCAGTTTAGCATTATCGATCTCTAGCATGAGACGAGCATTTTCCAAGGTCTTCTTCCTCACCTGATAAATATTAACATAGGTCAATAATAGCATTAACTCCTGGATTAAAGCTTATATAATATATTTTAACTTTAGTGTATGTTCATGTTACCTTTGTGTGTTATACTAATAGCAACAAGGTTTCTAAATGATACATTAAGAGTTGGATTTGTGGCTGGTGAGAGGTTCGAGCTTCATTGAACTGTGACTAATTCTGTTTTAAAAAGCACAAAACAATCATTAACTCTGGCCTGGCTTCTTTTACTACTTGTTAACTAGAAGAATGAGCTGATTCTGCCTGTGATGACTCTCCTAGTGCACTTCCTGCTAAAATAGATCTGATATTTGCATGAATGTTTTGTCTATGTAAAGTGATCAAAGTCATTATAATCTTGAGCCTTGTTTGCCCTTTCTAAACTCAGATCTTATGCTGACCTGACTTTTTTCCCTGCCTGCCTGCCACTCGATGCCTACCTCTTGCTCAACAGCATGAGCTTGGGCCATCATGGAATCGAGGTCATGACCTTTGGGAATGCGTTCGAGCATCAGCTGCTTAATTTTCATTTCCAGATCAGCGTTGGAGCGCTCCAGTGAACGCACCTGGAGGATACAAAGAGCCACAGAGAAGGGAGGACACAGGTTAATGATCAAAGTCTTTCAGCTTACTGCTTCTGTTATTTCCTGGGCTGATAACGTAACAGTGGAGTGCTGTGTTATTGTCAGACCTTGTCCAGGTAGTTGGCCAGACGGTTGTTGAGACTCTGCATAGCTTCCTTCTCATTGGTGCTGTTGCCATGCAGTCCGTTAATTTGAAGGCTTGCTGGCCCGTTGAGATCCTGGCTGATGGAAGCTGAACGGGTGAGCGGGCTCGCTACAGCGAAAGACACAGAAGCCCGAGAGCGAGCACGGCCGGTGTCCATCAGCGAACGACTGGAAAAGGAGGGCTGACGGCCAAGAGAGTAGCTTTTCATTGAAATACTGGAGGCCATGATCGGCGGCTGTGAAGGCGTAAAGAACAAAGCAAAAAGGGTCGGGGGTTAAACAATGTTGTGTTTCAAACCAGTGGTTCCCAACCTTTCTGATATGCCTCATGTCCCCTTTATCAACTCAATTTAAACTGGATCTGGACAGCTTTTACCTTACAGTATCAAGGTTTTGCAGTCATGTGACCACTAACCGCATGGCGTTAACTTGTCTAGCATTTTTTGTAAATGTGACAAATGTCAGGTCAGTTGAACAAGATGCCAATTACACAGCCCTGGACACCATTGGTTGCAAGGGCAAAATGTGTATTCCCCAACCTGATGGCAAATGGTCGCTGAAGGTTGATGGTATGCCTTGCCCCGTCAGCCAGCGACAGACCTTGCCAGATACCCGACCATTTGGCAAAAAGCTTGATTTTGTTGGTTGGTAGTTTCCGTGGAGCATGTGCTCTTAAGTGCAAAGATTCACTAACTACTTTCTGAGCGCCTTCGGAGTAAAAGCTGCACCTTTTGAAACGTGTTGGTTGGGGCAACGAAGTACAAATTTTACTTTAAAGATGAACATTCTTCGTTTCAGGTTTGCCTCAAACTTTTAAAACTTCTACTACTGCTCAGCAAGTATTTTATGAGTATTTGCAGACAATTGGCACCTTCCAAGCAAACTGCAGGCAACTGTGGCAATCTGCATTAAACTTTAAAAAGGTAGCCTCCTCTTTGCAGCTGATTCCATACCGACAGCCAGCGACTTCCAGCAAACACTCGCCAACCAGTTGGTAAATAGATATTTTTTTCCTCAAGACTCACTAGAATAACTTTAATGACAACTTTTAAATGTGTTTTATTTATTTATTTATCCATCCTATAAGTTAACAAGTGAGCAGCTTAAACTTGATTTTAGTAGTTCTGTGCTATTAGCTGACAGTTAGCTATAATGTTAGCCACTAATCTCAGCCAGTTGTTTGTATTTAAAGCATATGTACATTTATTTTGGTTGTGTATTTCTATTGCTAGCCATTACTTTTAGTTGTCTTTAATGCTGAAACCTGTTCTCATCTTACATTAAATGGTTAATTTCTGTTATTACATATTAGCTAAGTTTGGCTATGTAGCATGACTTGCCCTTTGGGTACTTATACATTTATTTTTGACTACGAAGACAAGACAGAGGAAAGGCATAAACTTGAGAAACAGAACCAGAGCACAATCACAGAGGTGTAGTCTCTTACAGGTTCATATCTTCGAAGAGAGCAGATGAATGTTTAAATTACACACATCATAACTTCAAAAGCCAGTCTGTTTGACCTTTGGCAGTCATTTAAATGTAGTGTTGCATGCGATCCGGTTGTAGAAAAGCTCTTTTGTGGTCCTTGAGCAAATGTGCTTTATTCTAGCATTTCAGCAGACTTTGATGGAAATACAAGTAGGGTCTTATATTCAAGACCACTGATCGCCCACTGAAAATGATGAAAGGAGTCTTTCAATGAGCGTATGCACGGCTGCCTCGTGGCTGTTCATCCTAAGCATCTGCATCAAGAGATGACTGACTTCGTGGCCTGAGACTCTTCAGTCTGTCAGTCTCAGCTCTGTGCAGACATAATTCAACTCAAGTCAGCATAAAATCTAAATGCAAATGACCACAGCTCGGCTATGGGCTGAAGAAGAGCCTCTCACTGAGACTGTGAGACTCTCACATATTCTTTTACGTATGATAATAAGATGTGTTTTATATTCAAGAAGAGACTGATAGAGGATTTCTAAAAGAACAGAAGCAAACAGAGAAGGATACAGGTGTCTATGCGCCTTCAAATGGCACGTCTTTGTAATCGGTTTCTGTTTTTAATGATCAATGATGTTTCTGTCTGTAATATTAGTGCCAACGCAACAGGTGTTCATGGTATTTCCTTAACTTTACAAAAGGTTAACTGTTTTTTGGATGTCAAACGTAGTGAAGGACAGGGTGGCTTTGTGTGTGTGTGTGTGTGTGTGTGTGTGTGTGTACGCTCGCAAAGTTTCAGTGGCAGATTAGCAGTCAAGGGAACCTCTCTGTCTCTCTGTCACTTGATCCTCACAACACCGTTCCCACAACACTACAAAGGACCCAGCAGGAGACAGACAGTCCTTGTTCAGATGAGAGATAGAGCTTGGGAAAATGATCTAGAAAATATTCAGAGTGAATTCCAGCAACACAACGAGACACGCTGTACAGCAGGAGATGGGCATTTTATAATGTGGGATTATCATCATGCTATCAACTGACTAATACGTGTGCTGACCATTTGAATGAAACTGAGCAAGAAGTTTAGAAGTTTTATTTTGATTCATGTCAGTGCATCATTATAATTATTCCAAGATAACAACCTTATTACTAATTAAATTTATTAAACAAGCAAGCAAAACCACTGATTAATATTTACCTGTTTCATGTCTCATGATTCCTAAAAATAAAGAATAAAAGAATAAAAACAACAAGATATATATTCTCCTTACCAGGACTTTGTTCAGGTAGAGTCAGTCTACGATCCAGAAGAATGTAGTAGGCTCTGTTTGCTGCTGATACTACAGGTGTGCTTATATGCAGGTGAGCACAGAGTGGGAGGATCTAACTCTCAAGTAGAGGTGTGTTTAATGCACCTGAAGGTCTTGAGAAAGGTAGGGTGCTCTTTCCACTCATGCCTGCTCACTTTATGTCTTTGTCATTGTTATTTGCGTTTAAACTCGGATGAAAAGTGAACAGGTAAACTAAACGCAAGAGATAATGAAAAAAACAGGTGCTACATTTTTGGGAGGTGATGGTAGGGATAGGAGCTTTAGATCTCCTCATAAACCCGATAATATGTTCTATAGATTGCTGCAGACACTCATGGAGTCATCGGGTTTCACAGCATCAGGCACACATTTAAAACCACTATCAGGCAGAGTGAGTAGGACTGTTTATCTCAGGAAAATGACACCTGTAAACATTACTAGCAACATACAGGCAGTTCTTAAAATTGCTGCGTTGAAGCAGGAAAAATGGGCACCATAGTTGTTGATGGCTAAAACTGCAAGACTCTTGTTCAGATCATCTCCAGAATGGCAGGTATTACTAAAAGGATATAATAGAAAGGAAGCAGAACACATTGCAGCATACCAAAAGTTCTTATGCTAACCTCTTTCCTAAGCCTCTATAATTGGCATGTGTGCTCAACTTACCACGGAGCAATGAAATAGTATGAGTTGGTCTGAGGAATTACATTTTGTTTTAAGTCATGTGACTGACAACAAGCGCATGTGTGTCATTTATTGAGAGAAGAGGTGACAATGTGATGCAGTACAGGAAGAAGCCAGGTTGACAGGTGCTGCTAGGAAACCTGGCATTCATGTGGCTGTTACAGTGACTTGTGCTCATAACTGAAACAACAGTAGTCCTTGAATGTTCATAAATGGTTTGCAGAACATAGTAAAGAGTTGAAATTGCCTCAAAATTCCCAAGACCTCAATCTGAACAAGCATTTGCGAGATATGTTTGGAAAAAAGTAGTATAAAATCATGGAGGCCTCACACTTAAAGTCACAGGATCTACAGCTAATTCCACTTGTCTGATACCACTAGACACCTTCAGCAGTCTTGTGGAGTTCATCGCTTGTTGGTTTAGCATAGGGAAGAAGTTGACCGAGACCTTTCTGTAGCTCTGATCTGTATAGTTTGAGAGGGACACGCACAATATTCAGCAGAAATGATTTTCATTTTTGTGAAAGTGGTGGACTTCTATTTTGGTCTTTTTGGGAGTAAATACGAGTCTCACTGGCAGCTAAATGATCCGCTGTGGTCATTCTTTTGCCGATGACTTTGCATTTGTTTGTATCACCTCACTGATTGCGGTCAGTTATTGTCATTCCCAGACATATCAACCCTATCTGGCCTGTTCCACAAACTAAGCTCATGTCACCTCATTTAGGTGTGTTAGTCCTGTGTTACTGAAACAAGGCCCAGTGTTTCCGCTTTGTAAGCACAATAAAATTTTGCATTAAGAGAATCAGTGATGTTCACTGAAGAGACTTGAGTTTCATATGTCTTTTGTTTTAGGTTTTGGGTTTTTTGCTGTTTGGTTAGGCGCAAACACCAAAACTACTTGGTTGTAACTAGGGAAAGCCAGGGTTTGGGTAAAAACAGACTTCCACCACATAGAAAGCCCCAAAAGCCTCCAAGCATGATATTTTACAAGTAAGCCTACATATTCTCACGGCTACAAGAGCTGCCCTGCATGATCACCTACTGAATGACGCTAACAGATGATAGCAGTCATTCAGTGGGCTGATAACCTGTCTGCTGGGTAGCATTGGCTTGTTGTGGTTGGCTGATGAAAGCAGTGAGTAAAACAGCTGCGGTGTAAAACCATAAAGCAGTGAGCACAAAGATGCTCGCAAGGCATTACAATAATTTTTTATTAATGATATAAAGACGTTGATTAGAGTAACTTTCTGAGTAACTAATACTCCTTAACCAGCATATCCTCAAAACGTAGCTACTGTGCTGTTCAGTTTCCACCTCTCATCACAATAATGCGTGTGCTCTCATGTGTCTGTGCTATTAAATATCTAATTAGCCCCACCAGCCTTTTACTGCTAGCACGTATGTGTGCGATGCCCCACCTGTGGATCTCTGCAACCCTCCTGCCCTGCAGTCACTCATCCTGCTGTAACTCAACCCTCCTTCTCCACGCTGGAGATAAAATATTCAAAAAGTCACTCAGAGAAGGAAAAGCTGCTGGTGGAAGCACTTATACACAAATGTGGTAGAGGATGAGAAAATTAGCCAAACGATCAGTGCTTTCTGTAATTGGTGCACTGAGGAACAAGACAGAAAAATGTTTCAGTGTACTTAAAATTTTAACCTCTAAACTAATTGTGTATGTATTCTTTACTATGGAAGCTCCTTGTCATGCTTACACTCTCAAATTCCCACAGAGGAAGAAAGACCAGGAACTCCATTTGCTCTGGTCTTGTGAATTTTGTCTATGCAAAGTCCCAGAGAAATAGTGGAGCTGCTGATATTAAAATGCGGGTAAAGCATGTGATTCCAGCCTGTATTATCATATTCAAATTGAAGTCTGATGAAAATCATGCGTGCGTCTCACAGCATAGCAAATATCTTTATTTGCATCTCATTCTTAGACTTTCAGAATTCTTCAGTCCTGCATGCGATACAATGAAAACACATTTGTTTATAACTTTTACATTTTGTGTCTTGTGTAAACTAGTAAATCAACACTCAAGATTCCTCCTTAAAGAAAGGAGAAAAAAACAATTTTATATATAAACACCAAGCACTCTTGTGATTGGCTAAATACCATATCATCAGAAAGATGACATCAGTCCTGTGATAACTGTAACTGTACACGCCCTGCTTTTTTAGGCCCCATTTGCCTATTTGTACACACATTCATCCAGAGCATCATCCACCATATGCACTGTTTGCTGGTGGATGTATTCAGGCCAGGTTCAGAGCTGGGCATCGAACCTCCGACATCAGTGGACGACCTGTTCAGCTGTAGTCACTACACAAGATCTATAACCAATGCAATTATTATTATTATTATTATAAACAGGAAACAAATGGGTAAACTTTAGTTTTAAGAACTGATCATTAAAATAATAAAGTGCATAAATTTATGTAGGAAGACTTTGCAGTAAGATAACCAAAGACCAAATTGGACATACTTATGTGAGTGGTTGAAATAGGTGTTTTAATACTGAAATAATAGTCCATCATGTGTCTCCACTGTGTGGCAAAGGCTTGTAAATACAAGCGAAGTTTAATCTAAAAGTAGCACCAGAACTTTCCAAAAGAGGGCAGCAGCAAGCTTTGCTACTGCACTTCCCTTACAGTCCAGATGAAAGGCTGTATTACCTCTTGAATGTCGTAAGGGCAAAATTCACAATAACTGAGCTCATGACTGATTTTAAAAACAAAAAAAGTATTATTTTAACCCTCTCACATATAGTTTTGCAGTTTAATTAATATAGATTTTTTCTGTTATTTGGGTGAAACGTTGATTCAGATGAAAATAATTTGCAGGTAGATGAATCGGGCATCATTTTATGCACACGATGCTTAATTTTCTTTTATTTCCTCCCAAATTTCTTTTTCACATCTTTATGAGCTTTTGGATCTGTATTTTTACAATCTATAAAATGAATAACAAGCTGGACAAACAGTTGGATATGAGATATGCACGCCAACACCAGCCACGGAGCTCTGAACCTTAATCAACCCCTCCTGCTACTTTCACTTTCTCGCTCTCTGCTTTAGTCGGTGTCGATCAGAGTTTGGCTGTTAAATAAATAAACAGGTGATTAGACTGCCAGGATGTCAGGATACTACTCATGACCCCACTTGACCCACATGACCCCTGTCACAAATGATCATGTGGCCATATCAGCCAAATTGCACACCAGTAAAAGAAAGTAGAGCTGTGATACTGTGGTACTGTGGTACTGAGGATGTCCAGGTAAGATCATCACTTTACAGCAATATGCAACAAATTACACTTGTAAAAGTCTTTCGATGGTTCATCTTGATTCTGAAATATTAAAATGAAATGTTAAATTTACGCGGAAATCAGTGTGAAAAAACACCACTTATGATTTATACTTCTTTTGAAGATAACCGTTTAATTTCAGGGAACATATTGTGTTGTAAGTTGATGACCGCATGCAGACTAAAGTCATAAGAAATACACAAATGTGACAGCCATCACTTATACACAACCACGGAAGTGCTTTCTTTGGCTTGTGGAGCAGGTCACCATCATGAAACTAACTTCAGATGACTTGGAGCATCATCCTTGCTTCTTCTCTCGTGAGAAGTCACCTCCCAATAATAATTCTGCTCCTGAAGTGATTGCTTCCTGTTACAGCTCTGCTGCTCCCCTCACAAGCTTTCATGTTGCTTGGCTGACAGGCAAACAAATACAGACACACAGACAAATTTAGCTCCACAAGCTTTGGAGCCTTCCTGCCATAATAATTCAGTCCAGAAAAAAAATGTAAGACTGAAAAATATCTCAGCTTTTGTGTGTGTGTGTGTGTGTGTGTGTGCTCAGAAAAATGCAGGGTTTCGTTTCTCAAGCTGATCAAACCAAAAGAGTGGGATGATTGAAAACTAGAAGTAATTCAAGTCCAAGTTTAAAGTTCACTCACTGATTGATCCAAGTGAAGTGCTCCACTCTCTTGTGAAAACCGTGTAACGAGTTTTCTTCTTTGAGAAATCAAGCTACATATAAAGGTTTCCTTTCTTTAGGGGGGCAAGTCTGTAAAAATTAAGGAAAAACTTTTTTAAGCAGGTAGTGTGTGTGAAGACGTGCTTCAATGCTTCAGTTCACTGCTTGGCAAAACGTTTCGGCATTATTTTTTTTCCGAACATTTTCCTGTGCCTGGAATCACTCTTGCACATGCTTTTCATAACTGGGGAAATGTCTAATGTATCTCTGCGCATCATCTGTGTGTCTGTCTATCCTTAACTTTATATACAAATAATATACTATGTGCATTTTGTA